ATAGTTTGCCTTAGAATACTGGACTGGGGATTCCTCAGAATTTGAAGATGTCACTCTATTGTCTTCTAGCTTCTGGTACAGTTTGAGAAATTCAATGTTATTCTAATTTTTTCTAATTCTTGATTCTTGGAGTTTCTCTCTCTCCATCTCACCCACCTACTTTTCTTTGCCTCAGTGTTCTGAAGTTTTACAAGGCTATAATAGCTGTGGATATAGTTTCTTTCACGGTGTTAGGTCTTTGGTGAGCTCTTTTAATGTGGGAACATATGTCCTTCCATTCTGGAAATGTTCTGGAATTATTTCATGGACAGTAAGCACCCTTCTGCATCCACTGCTCTCTTTCTGGGGTACCTATTTAACTCAGGTTCTGGACCTACTAGACACATTCTCTACTTTTAAAAAATTTTTATTACCATTTTCCTTCTTTGTCCTTTTGCTCTACTGTCTGAGGCATTTTCTCAACATCAGTTTTCAGCCTTTCTGTTGAGTTTTTCACGTCTGCTATTATTTTTATAATTTCTAAGAATACTCTTTGTTGTTTGAATATTCTTTTTTTTCATAACACTCTGTCCTTGTTTAATGGATCCATTTTCTTATTCTTTTGAGCATATTAAGAGCTATGTGTTTTGTAAGTTTTCTTCCCTTGCCTCTGATGTTTATGTTTGTTTGAGTCCCTGTCTTTCACATTAGAGGCTTTCCTCATTGTCATGGGGATCCGTAACTGTCTGTTCGTATTTAAGAGAGAAACATTAAAGACTGAAATCTCTGTATGGGCAGGAGGGGCTTGGTGGCTGCAGACTTCACTCCAGGGTCAGCTGGCTGGGTGGTTTCACTGGGGAACCCTGGATGTCAGAGTCATTAGGTCTTCTCTGATAAGATTTTTTTTGATAGGATTTTTTTCAAACTGCTTAGTCTTTTCCAATACCTTGCCTGAAAAATATCGTCAGTATTCTGCCTGACTTCTGCAAGCTGAGTGGCGTAGGAGCTCAGTCCCAACATTCAGTAGAAAACTTTTGTTTAATCCTCTGTTTTTAATTCAGTTCCTTTCAATCAACTCTGCATAGAGCCCCCCAATGCAGAGCCCCTCTGTTTTGCCATCTCCAGAGAATAAACCTGCAGGTCTCTACTGGGTAGTAACTGGTCTGCATGGTGTCCAGGATGGGATCTGGAATATAACTGCTTCTATGCAGGTCTTAACTGGTCTTTCTGTTTTCACCTCATAAAAATTGCTACTTCTGGAGATGCCTAGTGTGCCACCAATTCCTATGCCTTTTGAGCATTTAATAGAATAAATAAGTTTGTGCCAGGGCTTTCCCCGTCATTACCTTGAACTTTTGAAGTCGTCTTATTCAGTTACCACCCTTCCCTCTACTTTTTACAACACTAAAATTGTGTTACTGGTTTTTCTTTTCTCTGTTCTCTTTGACCTTGTGGTTTATGTCTTTTCTTTTTGTAAAGTTTAATGTTATTTTTGTTGGGTTTCAGAAGGGAGTAAAGGCTGATGTATGAGTTAAGCTGTTACCCTTAACTAGAATTTCCCCTGCCTTACTGTTAGCCCCACCCTGCCCCCTCCCTGATGACAGCTCCTTACAATTCAGGTATTGCTTCCCCAGCCATGCAGCTGGGCTCTGCTGCATCACTTCATTTTGCACCTCCAGGATTGGTTGACTATTCGCTTGAATGAAAGTTCATTGCCCACTGCCAAACATTTTTCTGTAAGCACCTTCTCTATGCCAACCCAGACCAGTGGGTAGATCTTTATGGACAGGTAGGCTATCAGAAAGACCAGACTTTCTCCTGTCTCCCCTACCCCTGCTCTGAATTGTTATGAATAAACCACCAGGCTGTCTTGGGGAGCAATGTTCAGATGTCTCATCAGGGTGGCCCTGCTCATGGGGCCCAGGAGGTGACAGCAGGTTGCTGGATCAATGTAGGCTTTGTGGGATGGTCTTACAAATCTGTTCTTTAGCTTTTAATACATCTGGTATTTATCCCATGTGGTCCAGTGTTAGGAAGCTGACTCAGGTGACTCAAACTCACAGCATACTAGGTCACCTTACAGAGCACTTATTTATTAATTTGAATGGGTTGTGTTTCTTGCCAGTAAGTAGACCATTTATATCTGCTATCCAGGGTATTCCCTGTCAGGTATCAAGCCAGAAAGAAAGCTCAGTTATCAGATGTCTTCTGTCCACCAGGACATACCAGGAATATTTACAGGCATTATTTCCAGTTAATCCTCATGCTAACCCTGTGAAGTGTTATCCCATTTTACAGGTGAGGAAATCAGTATCCAGCCAGGCTGAGTAAATTACTTGAGCTTATAAAACCGATGAAAGAGAGTCGGGCCTTCTGGCTTTGGCACCCATGAGCCTTCCCTTCCTCTGCACTAGGTGACCACAGAATGAAACCAATAGAGACACAAGACGAGATGGTCTCACAAGATTCCTGTCGCAGCAGAGGGCCTCTCTCATGACCTTCGATCTGAGTCATAAAGGAAGAGTGTGGATGGATGAAGAGCCAGGTGAAGAATGTGGGCCGTGGGTGGGAGATGTGGGTGACCCTGAGGAACCACGTGGCTGCAGCCAGGCGAGCATGGGCGACCCCTGAGGGGCCCACGTTAGAGACCCCACAGAGGAAGACTGAGATGCAGTTGCCAGACCACAGCGCATGCCCTCTGGAGCTAGGCTGACCCCACCGCTAGAATCTGACTGCTCTTTAGGGGAGCAGGGGGTTATCAGAAAGACTGGAATTTTCTGTCTTCCTAAAACTCTCTAGGATGTTCCAGTCCCTCAAATTATCCGGATATTTTTTCTAATATGGGTGACTTCCTTGTATTTTCAAATTCCTCATGGAGGATTTAATTGATCTATCACAGTTTTTCTTACAATGATATATTATCAATAAAATCTTCAAGTTTGACCAGTTACTAACAATTACAATTTGAGCACCAGTAGACCTGTGGTTCCCAACTAGAATGTCCATCAGAATCACTCACAGAGGTTGTTAAAAATATAGAGGCTTGAGCCCCAATCTAACCAACTGAATCATGGGTATATTTTTGCAGGCTCCACAATCTATTCTTATGCAGCTGGCTCATTTTTCAGAAAGTGCATACCCTGGGACAGGGTCAGTGGAAGATCACACAACATCAGACAGGTGTGACTGCAGCACACATCTTGAGCAAGGCCCAGGTTTTCTGCTGCACAGTAGAGGTTCTGGCAGGACAGGGAGTGTGTCCTATGTATACAGATGCCACATATGTTCACTTCCGTTCTTTTCATCAGGATGTATTCAGCCACTAAATCATCTAGCTAGGGATATTTTCAATACAGTGCTGTGCACAATGATCATTGTCCTCAAGTTCTCATCAATTCTAAAATGCACATTTTCCCCACATTTTAACATATCAGAAATGGGGTTGTGCCTAAAAATTGATTGTATCTTAGCATTTGTTACAATGAAATTGAGAGTGTCTTTTTTTTTCTTATGGCATATAAAATAATGGTGCTACTTAAAACCACACTATCTTCAAATTGATGAAACAGTCATTGAAAAAGGGAACAATATACTCACGTAAACATGTAGCAAACATGAGCCTTGCGTGCTGTTCCCTCTACATGGGAAATTCTGCATCACTGATTTACGAATTATACTCAACTATTACAACTCCATTCAAATGTCTCCTCCTCCAAGAAGCCTTCTGTGTTACCCTAGTCCTACCACTCAATCTGAATTCAAATCCTTGCTTTGGGCTCCTGTACTTGCCTCTGACTTGCACTTACCAAGCTGAGTTTTATCCTAAATGAGTTCTACCCTTCTGAGCTTCTTGGAAAGATGCAAAGATGCAGTGATGCAGTTGCCCACCTCTGTGTTCCTAGCACAGAGCATGGTACGTAGCAGAAGTTCAGAAACTGTTGAATCAATGAATGATGAAGGATTGAATAGTTATAGTTATGTAATGCATGATATACAAAACCACAGGATTTCAGAAGAAAGGCAGAGCACAGGGCTGGAAAGGCCAGGAAGTCTTCATGAAGGGAGTGGGAGGGTTGTGTGCCTTTCTGGCAGGATGGCTGGTAGAATTGCTGAGGACTGCAATGAGGAATAAGAAAGGGGTAATGTTAAGATCTTCATTTATCCTGCTGGATAGATCCTGCAATGACTGTTCCTTGGCTGTATTTTGTGTTCGCATTTCAAGAGGCTGTAGGGTTTCATTTACCATCATTCTTAATAATTAACTCTGGGTGCTGAAACAATAGCCCTCAGGTTCAGAGGGAAAAAGCAGTTCAACCTTCAGCAAGGTCTCACAGGAAGTCCTGACTATACATAGACTCTGTGGTTTAGACCTCAGAACTTCCTGCCAGAGCCTGACAAGGTTTAACAAGTCTAAGAAGCCAGAAGGAGGGCAGACGGGACCACAAATATGGTGTCAACATTTCAAAGCAGGTGCCTCCTCACCACCTATTGTTTTAGAACCTTAACTGAAAACTGTTTTTTTTTCTCCCCACTTCCCATAAAATACAGGTAACATGACAGCTAGCTGGGGATGGGGTCTGACCTTTTAATAATGGTGACTTAAGACTTGGGATTTGATTTGGATGAGTTGTCGCTAAGCCTGCCCTTTTATATTTCATTTGATAGGCTCCTGACACCTCCAGTATTCATGCAATCCCCTCTTTTCAAGGATGACTGAAGATCACTGGTATGAAGGATGAACAATCAAGGAAGTGAGACCCAATCAATCATGTTTTCTGGTGCCTCTTGTTGACTTTTGGGCATAGAGTTTCTCAATTCATTATACAAATCTAAAAATAAGTTTGAAGCTGGGCCAGATCCGTAGCTGAGACCAGAGGGCACGTTCTGGTTGTTCTGGTGGAGATTATGATGCCAGGAAATTGGCGTGAACCAAGTTTGGTTCTACTGTTACACCAACCAGTTTCTTTTCTCATTCAGCAGCTTGAGGATGGGCTCCTTTCTACAATGAGTAGACACTGGGGTCAAATAAAAGCTTTTATTTCATTTTTGCTCCTGCGATGGGGGGCAGGTGTCCACCTAGCACATAAGAAACCCATGACTCTTGAGCAGGCGGGCTGCTTGAGGGGAGACACAGCACAGCACAGCACGATGTCTCACATCCACACGGGGCCGGAGAGGCAGACAAGGTGATCTCTAGGGTTTTGTGCTCCATCCCCCATCATCCTAGTGATTGAACTGTTTTCTCTTCTTGGTGTGATGGAGAGCTATGAGGACACCAGAGACTCCAGATGTCACACCACGTGGATGAGTTAGAAGGTGCAGACGCGGCTGTGGCCCATGAGCTCAGGAGACAATAATGTTTTGCTTGTAGAACACACTCAGTGGAAGTGCAGGCGTGCACACCCATAGCGGAGAAATTCAGTAGGGCCTTTTATGGGGAAGGATGACTTCTATCTTTTCTAATCAGAGGAAGTGACAACTGCATCAGGAAACAGAGCTGGGAGCTGCTGCAGCAGCACGGGGAGGTTTCTGCTGAACTCGAGGCCTGGGCAGAGGAGGGCCTTTTTGCTGGTGCACTTGGGTGCCATGGGGAGGAGGAGGAGGCCTCTTTTGCTGTTGGTGCAGGACACGGTGGCCTGGAATCCCGGGACGATAACCAGGTGCCTGGGGACGATGACCAGGAGGTGGAGGAGGTTGGGACACAGCTGGATTTTGAGGAGTTGAGTCTGGAATTTGGTGGGGTTTCCGGCCCCCTTTTTTAGTGGCTTCTATGTGATCTCTTATCTCCAGCTCCTCATCTGCAACAATAAAACATCCAAAGAGTTGTCTTGGCAAAATCTGATTAATAAAACTATTTATGGAGTGTACCTCCCATGCACAGTGCCCCACGCCAGCCCATTTGGGAGATGTGAGGAGAAAGCAGAAGCCATCCCTACCCTCTAATGATTCCAGGTCTTGTAGGGGAGACAGAAAAGCCCACCAGCAAGGGAGGGAGGGAGGGAGCCCAGGGCTTCCGAGAACTCAGGGAGCCGGAAGCAAGCGGGCAGTTGGAGGGCTTTGTGCTGGGGTCTCCTGGGAGCAGACAGGGCACTCAGACCCCAGGTCCCTGCCTCTGTGGCATACTAGAGGCCGTGCCCAGAGAGCACCTCGGGGTTGGCACCCTCGTTCAAGGATCTGAGTAGTCAGAGAGGGCATTTGCAATTGCCTTCCTTCACCCAGTCCCACTATGACGCAGCCCACATTCTGGTGAGGGGTTGGAATACACACAAGGGGCTTGTGTATTTTAGTCCTTAGACACTTATAAGTTAATCAGAAATTCAGAAGCAAACAGCATCCTGCAGCTTCTGAGGGGGCCGGGAAGAGGATGTCCTCCCTGGGGTAGATGGGTGGCTGCCCGCACTGGGGCAGGGACCTGCCTGCGGCTCAGAAAGCAGCTGCCCTCTCTGAGCATCACCCTGCAAGTTCAGGGAGGAGGCTGCTGCAAATGGCCTCTTTCGACTGCTGGAAATCCAGGCCTCAGGTGGCTTTGCAAGTGAGGACTCAAAGTCGGTGTGGTTTTCATATGCGAGAGGCGGGTGTGCTCTAAGCGTAAAACATAAAGGGCACAGAAGAGAAAAACACATCCCCTCTGCCATCTTTGGTGCCCTGGGTTAGCTGAGGGCATCCCAGGAGGCTGCGGAGGGGACTTTGACACCCCCAACCCCAATTCCCAGCGGCGGAACCATGGCGATCCTGTTTCATCCTCTGAATGGCAAGCTTGGCCTGGCCATTTGCTCACTGTTTACCCACTGTTCTGTTCACTTGTTCTTCGGACATGTATTCCCCATATTGTAAGGCGTTAGGTGCTAAGTGTAATGATGGCTCAGACACTGTCCTCAGGAAGCCTGAAATCAAGTGAGTGACACAAACTGGGACTGCAAATCACAATGTCAATCTCTGATAAGAGCCCAGGGAACCAAGAGAGGTACACAGAGCCCCGTGAGTTCCAGGCAGAGGAGTGAGGTGTGGCGAGGTGGCTGAGACCTCAGGCTGGTTTGGGCAGGTGAGGCCAGTGGTGGTTCTGTGCAGCCTGCCCGGCCACAGCAGGGCTATGGGCCCCAGCAGGCCCATGCCCTCAACTTCAGCCAGTGCCGCAGAATCTGCTCCAAGTGACTCCTCCAGGCCCTGTCCCTCTGTCATTTCATCTCTGGCTTCCTTAACCTCCGGCTGGGACTAGGGGCAGCAAGCAAGATACCCAGTGCACAAAACTGGTGGAAGCCCACACTCTAGGGGATGGGCAAAGGCAGTATCAGCCCCAGGGATAGGGTTTCCTTCAAGTTTGCACCCTGGTCTCCGTGCTTGCCTCTCCCTAGCCCTGACTCTGCCTACTAACCACAGGATGGGGGTAAATCATTTAACTTCACTGAGTCTAAATCTCATTTGTCTGAGTATTTCTATCTCATCAGATCACTCAGCAAGCAGGACACGTTGATGAATACAAAGCATCACATTACAGAGACTAGCACCTGGTACAAGTGACTGCTTAGTCAACGTGAGCTAATTACCATGTTGGTCCTTTTAGCCCAGTGAAGGCAGAGATCCCCTTGTTGTGGGGTGGTGTGTGGGGTCCACACTGGAAGGACAGTGATCCTTGGTCAGTAGGTAACAGAGAAAGGGCTTTTGTGGGCAAGTGGAGATGCCTGAGTAGGGCACAGAGGTGAGGAGACCAGGGGTGCCTGTGGGACTCAGCCAGCAGTTCTGTTCTCCTGGGGTGGAGAGTGTAGGAAAGATGGTGGCGGCAGCATGGCGCCACGCTGCAGCAGTGGTGTGCTGGGCCATGGGGCAGAGGGAGAGGCAGGGAAGGGAGTCTGAAGTGAGGAAACCAAAGCCGTAAGTGGCCCAAGGCCACCACTGTCTGGGGGCGGTTCAGATCAGGGCCGTGTTGGGCAGTGCTGAGGGCAGCTGGCATGGGTGTGTTGGGCCCTTTCAAGGGGAGATCTAGCGCGAGGGGACCAAGTCCGGCACTGTAAGACTACACAGCACCCCAGGGGCCTGCCCACATGGCCGCATGGCCCACTGCTGCCTGAACACCCCTGCTGGACCCCCTGCAGCATGGCATCCTGACACCCCAACCCAACACCTGCAGACATGCCTGGCCTGCCATTACCTGAACACACTGCCTTGGGTGCTTGGATGCCCCTAGAGCCAGATCCCCACTTAGGAGCATGACCTTTTCATGCTGAGCAGGTTGCTGGACAGGCCTGATTTGAGAAAGAAACAGTCCCAGTCCTTAACACATCCCCTCTGAGCAGCAAGTTGGAAAAGGGACTATAACCACCTGGTTTTAGAAGAAATCTGTTCCTGTGAGTCCCAGATGCCCTGAAATTTTACCTGAGTTCGTAGGAGTTTAGTCCTGAACACACTGTGGGTGCCCCCCTCAGGAGAAGACAGGATGTGTTTGTTCATAGAAATGGGTTGTGAAGCTAATCTATCTACCCACGTAGAGATGTGTGTCTTGTTCAAAATATGTCCACACAGCCTCGCATCACGTCAGCCTCAGGTGGTGGATTCCAGTGAGGCCACCCTGGATTGAGCTTCTCAAAGCTTTCACATTGTTACCACTAGAATTTGCTTTTCAAAAATCAAGGTAACCACAAAATGGAACTAACTGTAACCACCAGTTATAACCCTGGCCTTCTGAAACTGCCCATCTCCATTATTTTCTTTCCAGACTCAAAGTGGATCCCCATGAGTTGTTCCCATGGGGATTTTGCCTGGGCCTGCGTGGGGCAGAAAATAGCTTACCATTTCTCCTGCTGCTCTGTCTTTTTCTCTTGCTGTTGTAGAAAATGAGTAGTGACACAAAGAGGATTAAGATGGTGCCTCCTATACAAATGCCAATGATGAGATAGACATCCAGACCTTTCTCTGCAAGAGGAACAGAAGTGGGGTGGAGGGAAGGGTACTAGACAGAGGGGCCATTTCATTGCTCTGGCCAAGGGCCCCTGCCTCTCACATTAAGCAGATAAAGAGCCTGATGGGACTTTTCAACTCAAAGACCAAGCTCATGGAGGGCTGTGAATCATGTCAGTCCCTAGAAGGATGCAGAGTCCAGGGTAAGCCCCTCAGAAGCCTCCTTGGAGAGCTGTTCTCTGGGCCAGAAATGCCTCCTTCTTCATATGTCAAGGCACTGTTACTGCCTCCCATCAGGGAGACTGTCACAGAAGTTTAGCTCTGAGATCTTAGAGACAATCTGAAGTAATATCTAGTTTCACAGACAAGGCCCAGAGAGGGAAGACAAGCTGCCTGAGGCCACACAGTATCTGCTCCTGAGTGGTCCCTTTAAGCAGCTTCTTTTCTTAATGTTTCTGCACTATTTATCCAGTTCATCTCTAGCTGCCCTCCTATGTCATGTTGTTTTTCTCACCCTCGGACCAGGCAGTTTCCAAAGGACTTGGTAAATATTTCACCTGTCCAACCCAGCCCTCCAACTTCTCAGCCAGCACCCCCTCCCAGATTTCTCCTGGCCTGTCAGAGAAACTCAGTCACATAGTGACTTAGCAGCCACAGTGGCCTTGATCTTCAGCTTGCTGACCTTCAGTCACTGTAATGCAATGAGAAAACAATGACTCAGTGATAAAAGAAATAGGTTTGAGTCCAGGCTCTCCCAGGCAAGAGCTGTGTGACTTTTGGCAAGTTACTTCACCTCTCTGAGCCTGTTCTATTCTTTGTAAAATGGAAGTAATGAAACTTATGTCACAGGGTGGCTGTTGGAAGTCAATCAGATAATGGATATGAAAGTGCTTTGTAAACCGTAAAACAACACACAAAGGTGAGGTCCTGGTCTTAGGAGAGCACTGCGCACTGGTGTTTCCCGGAGCTGTTTCCCAGGAGGGGTGCTGGGCCATCTGCCCTTTGTGAGTTAACGGCAATAAGAAAGGCAGCAGCTGGGGCCAGGGTCAGAGGACTTGTACATCTGGAGAACAAACTGGAGCTCAGCCCAGCACCGCAAGAAAACCCCTCTCCAGCCAAACTTTCCTGGGAAGATATTGTTACACATGAAGTCCAGGAGGGGCCCCAGGAGCAAGGCAGAGGCCCAGAAACCAAACTGAACAGATTTTCAGGCTGCAATGGTTAATTCTCCCTTTCCTTCCTCAAGTTTCTCCCTGAACCATTCTCTGCTTGCCAGGTATACAGCCTCTCTCTGCTCTGTGGATAAAGGGCTGCCACCAGAAAGGTAGATTTAGGCATAATCTTAAACTGCTATGAAACCGGGCCAAGGACTGGGGGTCCCTTAGGCTCCACTGGCTTAGAAGGGCCAGGGCCACTGGCATCTGCCACAGGCTAAGCAGTCCAGTCCAGCGGGCCCCAGGCAGGCCTGCAACAAGTCGGAGAGTTCAGGGCTAAACTGTGTGGCCATAAGCTCATCTTTTCTCAAAGTCCTCACAGAGGGTGGCTGCATCTTTATCTAGGGATGTGGCAATGCCTTATACAGTCTGTTCACAGGTCTGCCCAGAGCGGGTCTCTGAGATCCCTGGGCTCAGGGGGTGCTCTGTGCAGAACATTCCAGCTTGTCTCAGAGGCAGCTGTGGCTCTATCACTCAAAACTATGTCATCACAGCCTCTAAATTCCGCCACACTCCATCTTGCATTCCCACTTGGAGATAATGTGCCTAGAAGTTTACGGTGGCATCTTTGTGTCCAAACCTGTTCCTTCCTCCTTGTATTTCAGATTTAAGTGCATTATAACCTTTTCCGAGTCAAATGGTGAGTCTTACCATCATCCCCTCTGACTTGGCCTTTTAGGGTAAAATATTTATATCCATTTTAGGGTCTTCCAGCAGCCTCCACCTCCCCAGCTGCCCCATCGGCACACTCCCCCAGACGGGCTTCTGCTCTGCACCACAGAGTAAGGGACCTGAGTGTTCCAGTATTCAAACCCCAGCTTCCCCTGAAGACTTTCCTCTCCCTCCGTCCCTAATGTGCATACATTTCTATAAAGGTGGGATCTAGTTAAAATACACATAAAGAATGGGGTTGCCAGATAAAATACAGGATGTCCTGTATTTTAAGTTGAGTTTGAATTTCAGGTAAACAATAAATAATTCTCAGTATGTCCCATGCAACATTTAGAACCTGTTTATGCTATCTTCTTATATGCTAAATCTACAGCACTAACCCAGGGCAAAAGAGCCCCTGAAGTCAGGGAGAGGCAGCTTCGCTCACTGCGCCCAGTGAAGGCGAGCGCAGAGGGGTGACTGGTGACAAACACTGGGGCTGAAATGAAGCCGATCTAAGCTGGTGCTAGCAGATGCCAAAATGGGCCCTGGTAACCCCTGCCTCCTGGCATTCCACCTCTATGCAATCCCCTCCCTTGAATGTGGACTAGGCTTTTTGAGTTGCTTCTAAAGGATAGGATGCAGCCAAAGTGAAAGGCTCTCACTCCCGAGATTAAGTTATAAAGAGACCATGGTTTTTGTCTTCGGCACTTGTTTTCTCTCTCTCAGAGAGTGCTGAGGGAAGCTAGCTGCCATGTTGTGAGGCAGACCAATGACCCACATGAGGGAGCGTGGTGGGGGCCCCCTCAGCGGAGCCTGGACACGGTGGACATGACTGCAGCCCCTCTCAGCCTCCCGAGGGCAGCTTCCTGAAAGACCCTGGTCCGGAACTGGAACCGACCAGCTTAGTTCCTCCCAGATCATCTGTCATGGAAACTGAGATAACAGCTGCTTGTTGTTTTAAGCCACTACCTAGGGGGCAATTTGTTATGCAGCAACAGGTAACTCATTCAAAGGATATATAAAAAAGCTGTAAATAAAAAAAACTCTGACTTCTGCATCCTAGGCCCACTGACCAGCTATAGTGGCTATAGAAATTCAGAGCCTCTGACCAAATGACTATTTTTTTAACCCCTTCAGGGGGGTTTACCAGATGGCACTGGAAAGATAACCACAGAGTAGGAGATGAGTCAACGCTTGAGGATCCATGGGCCCACTTTGTGTGGGGGCCAGGAGGCTGATGCCCACAGAGGGGAGAGGACTCTGTCAAGGTCACCCTGACAAATTTGGACAGACACAGACTAGACGTCCAGGCCTCTGGCTCCCAGAGCTAAGAACTTCAGCAGGCTGCCTCTCAAAAATCATTTCTGGGGAGTGATGTCAACCTGGGATGTGGGAGAAGAGCTTAGAGTCTTAGGTTTCAGGACTTCCTGGTGCTGATGGCAACACCGGGCTGCCAGCTTCGTGGCAGGAGGAGCCCGCGGTCACATGGGCCTCAAGCTCTTGCTTGCACCCCCCACCCCCTGGTAGCTCCCAGGTCTCTGCAGACACTGTAGCCTTGTTCCTCCTCCAGAAAGGAATCTTTTTGTTCCCTTCTCCATCATTACCCTCACTGACTAGCTGAGGGACCCCAGGCAGGTCAGTTTGCCTCGCTGAACAATGGGGATTTGCATAAGATAACCTCTACAGCTCCTTCTACCCTCTGCATCTGGCAGTTCTTTCTCCAGAAGAGGATCTTTTTAATTGCCTGAGGTTAAATAGTGCTCCATGGGAGGATGCCCAAGATGGGTAAGAACAGATCACCACCTCCTCTCTCCTCTAAGACTTCCCTTGTTTCAGTTCTCATCCTGAGCCAAGGCTGCCTCCCAGCCCAGGCCCTGGAGAGGGCCGTGCCATGGGCCGGGCAGGCCAGGTTAGCAAACTCAGGGCATCTGACCAGTGCCGGTCACGCACCTGTACAACTGATGGTCACTGTGCTGGTTTTCTCACTGATTTTGTTACTTGCTGTGCACTTGAATAGTGCCTTCCATTTGGTGGGCCACTTGTATGTGATGATCGTCTGATTATTCTTTGTGACATTGCTTCCATTTAGATACAATTGTAATTGAGAGTCAGTTCCATTTGTTACCTTACAGGTCAGGGTTGTGTTAGTACAATTCCAGGAGATTTCAGGTTGTGACACCATCTCTGAAAAGAAAATAAAGATCCAGTTCATATTAGGTAATTTTCTAAGTTTAATGGACATACTTATTATAGAGAGGGACACAGGGTTGGTTTGGGACCAGGGAACAATTTCAAAGATCACCTGCTATTTTCAAAAATCATTTTCATTTTACCTTATTTATATATCACATTCAGAAATTTATTTCTGATGAAGTTCATAGATTAATTATATCAGTATATACCATAGCAAATGCTTATGTGTTGTTTTATACCTTAAAATGTTTTCACATACATGATATCATTTAATCATGAGAGCATTTAATCATTTCATACCATCTCCAGACACCCACAGACTTGAGGGTGGCCATACTTTGAGGGCAGCCGCAAACCCCACCTTGGGGCAATTGTTACATGTATGGTCTGGGACCTTGATCACAAATGAACGCCCTGTCTCCACCCCACCACTAGGGCCCTGGGGGTGGAGGGCTGGGTGTGCAGCTCCAGCTGTGAGGTTCAAAGTCATGAGCCCCTTTCTGCTCCCTAAGCTGCTTGGCCACTTACCAGGCCTCCCTGGACCTCATCTGTGAGAGAAAGGCAAGGAAGATATGCACCACCTGTCACAGTGCCACAGCATGTGACAAAGCCTTGGGCAAACTGTTAAGTACTGACGTTATTGTTGGTAGTTGTTACTTTCATAAACACAAACTTCTGGCCTCACCTTTCCTGTGTGACAATATTCAAAGGCTGTCTCATAAAAGAACACAGCCTGTTCTTGGTGTCAGACAGGCCAGGTCCAGATCCTGACTCCACCATTCCCGGCTGGGTGGCCCCACTTCCATTTTCTTCTTCTCTGTTCTTTTTCTCATGCTTTGCTCTCTTTCTGCAGGACCCCAACTTTCCCTCTCAGTTTCTCTCCATTCCTTATGCAGCTGGAAAGCTTATTTTTCAGTGTTTCCCTCCCTGTCTGCCTCCCAGGCAACAATATCTGCTCCAGGATTTTTCCCACCAAACCACATTTCTGCCCCAGTACTCAGGCGTGCAGAAATTAAGTTTTCTTCTCATCAGGGGCTTCAGTGTGACCAGACAATAAGACAGGGTCAAGGCATAGTGTGTAGGACACAGGTCAAGGTGTTGTCTTTACAAAATGGAAGTAATCGTTTTTCTCTTTACAACAGTAATACATTGTAACAGTAATACAGTACAATCATTGCAAAAATTTTTTTAAAGTTTCAAGATTAAAAATCACTTGCAATTCCACTATCCAGAGTCAATACGTACTAATATTTTAAAGTATAGCTTTGCTACATGTTTTCTGTACATACATACACATATAAATAATATTTTAAAAACTAAAACTGGATCATATGATTTTTGCAGTCTGCAGATTTTTCCTTTACTGATGGTCTACAATGAAATTACTCCCTTTAAGAACATCAATAAATACACATCTCCACCATCTTTTTAAATGATGCGTTCCTAATTTAATGAATAAGTTTCTGACTGCTAGGGACTTTTGAATCCTTTCCATTATTTCACTAATATAAACCACACAGGGATGAGCGGCCTCTCGAAATCGTATCTTTGTACTTATCTTCTCTGTAAGAGAGCTTCCTAGAAGAGGCACCACCAGACTAAGTGGGGGCACAACTCATAGATGAGCAATCCTTAATTCTAGGTTGCTAGAATTTACTCCTTCAGTACCACCTGCATATGAGGGGCCTTCCCCTGCCTCCTGAGCCAGGAGCAGCAGTCCCCCCATTAGGAGATGAGGGAACTAAGACTGAAGCTGCGAGAGAAGCATGGAGAAACAAAGAGACGGGGGCAGCATTGGCACTGAGCACAGTGGTATTCTTTCCCAAGCACTGCAGGGCCCCTTTGCTTAGCTGTCTCTCTGAAAATCCCTTGGGGTTATTATTATGAAAATCCGACGCGGAGCAGGTAGAGAATTTGCCCAAGGTCATGAGTCAAGGAAGGGTGACTGGACCAACTGAATTACTTCGCGGTGTGGCATCGACACACACACGCAGTGAGGTGGCTGTTGTGTCATGGAAAAATCTCCGTCTTTTGGCCAAGGAGTGTGGGGTTTAATTTTGGGAATAAATTGTTTTAAAACTGATCATGTGATGATTGCACAACACTGTGGATATAGGAGAAGCCGTTGAATCCGACACTTTAAATGGGTGACTATCATGGTATATGAATTACATCTCAATAAAACTGCTTGGGAAAAAATACCACCATTCTTGCTAAAAGAAGCCCTGGGTTTGGATTCTGACTTTGGTCCTGACTAGCTGTGAGACAAGTCACTTCTGCTTTCTTACAGATAATAAGGGAATAATAACAACTGTCTCTCGGGATTGTAAATAAAATTATTTTATTTTTATGTAGCAACAGCCTACCGCTAGCAGGCAGCCAGTACTACCACTGCAATACCAAACACAACACGAATGGGAGGCTCATGTTCAAAACAGGATCTGGAGTCCTTGCGGGCAGGAGTCCTGAGATCTGGGATTCCCAGAGCCCGTAAGCAGAGGCCCCTTCTGGCTCCATTCCCACCCCATTTCTAGAACGTACTTTCCATTCAAGGTTGCAAGGCCAGGGTATGGAAAATTGTCACTTGGGGGGAGCTGGCATTATTGGAGTGGGGCTGCTGCCAGATGCATGTGTCAAGAAAGGGCTGGAGAGTGACCCTGGATAGGAGAAAGGGGTCCTGCTTCTGGCAATATTTCCTGGGTGAAGCACAGAAATGTTTTTTCCTCACTGGATCTCCAGCTTGTGCTCATGCCGGGGGTCCTGTCTTCCTCTCCAAGCCAAGTGCAGTTTCCTCTTGTCACTTATCATCACCCCTACCAGGTGTCCCCTGGACTTTAAATTTCAATGACATTCCAAGTTCTGTTATCTCTTCCCTCATCCTGCACACAAGCCAGCTTGCCTGTCGTTTGTCGACACGTGGCCCTCAGTATACTCACTGTCCTCATTTTACAGTCACCCTTTCGACCAGTGGTCATCAGCTGTGGCTGTTCATGAGAAAAACCCGGCCCCAGGCCAGGCAGTTCTGATAGAATCCGTCTGGGATGGGACCAAGGTGTCCGTAACTTTAAAACAGCATCCCAGTTGATTCTAACAGGCCTCCTGTGTTCAGAATCACCAGCCGGCGCCTTCCCACTTCACTTGGATTGAGCAGTAGCTTCCAGGCTAGTCTCACTGCCGCCATCTTCAATACCCACTGCTGCCCTTGCAGAACATACAGAGCCACACCGAGCCACACCTCGTGTGCTTTCTACAGATGTCAGCAGAAATCTTCCACCTTTGATCAGCCTGACATGGAGTAGATTGGAAACAAGGGCTATTCATCCTTACATTCATTATTTATCCATTTCCTGCCATGTAGCCACTCCTTCAGGGTATCCTGGTTTGAAATTGTCCCTCTGGATGGAAGACCCTCTGCTCTCCCGTCAGTCTCCCCTTCTGCCCCACGCCTAGCTTGCCCCTTCGTCAACCACCTGGAACAGCCACCTTTTTCCTTTTCCCACCTGTTCCCCTCCTCCTGATTAATGCCACCTGAATCCAGGATCTCCTCTCAGCGCCATATCCCCATAGCCACTGAAGAAAGAGTTTTAGGCAGATAGACTTGAGCTTTACTCGCTGCCGATTTCCAACATGTGTGGATTCCCTCTGACCCACAGGGCTGGAGTCTCCATTGGGGCGGGAGGGCTCCATTAGCTTTCCTTGAGGGCTCACTCAGATGAGGTCAGGGCTGGGGATTCCACAGATTCTCCAACTTGCTAAATAGCACCCATACTGAGATAGAGCAATTTAGGGAACAGAGACTTACCTAGAATCTTCAAAACAAACGTTTTCTCCATCCAGTTTTTTCCTTGCGTATTATAAATGGTTACCTTGTAGGTATCACTATCATTTCTCTTCAGCTGTTTAATTTTCAGAGTTCCATTTGCTAGTATCTGGTATGTTTCCTTTAGCTCATAAGGTGTCCTGTCTTTTTTGAATTGTGCAATCTTGGTTTTGTCTTTTTTCCATAGCACATCATCTATACTTCCACTCATTTGAAAACCAGGAATGTTTAGGTTGATGTCCTGATCCACAGCACCCCAGACGCTAATCTCTTCAGGAACTGCACCTATAAAAAACAAGATAGTTACTGAAATCTTGAGACTCACTGCCAGGGAAAGCTGGGCTGTGACCTCATTGACTCTTAAGACACTCACTTTAGGGTCTCTAGTGGAGACCCACATACCAACTTACCTTTGAGGGAAAGGATGGCAATCACAAGGAAGTGGGCTACGATTTTACTTGTGAGGCTCATTTTGGGGGTTAGTTTCCTTGTTGTGATTCTGAGCTCTTCTTGAAAAAGCAGCTGAAATAAGACCAGTGGAATCCACCCCCTGAGAGCTTAACCACGTGCCTCTCATTTTTGTTTCCTTTACAGAAGCATAGAAAACACACGCATGGACAGTCCCCAAAGTAACTTCGCCAATGCACTCCTTTGCCAAAGCACATGTGTTTTAAGGGTGTTGTTTTCTTATCACATTTTAATCCTCACAACAACCTTAGGTGAGTTTTATTATCCTCATGGAAGAGAACAGAAACTGAGAGGCTAATGAAATCTCTCAGGATTACCCTTTGGTTAATGAGAAGCTAAATTCAACCACACAGTTCATTCTATCCATTGTGCTTATATTGTCTCTAATAAGACCACAGAGAAACGTAGGTTAATGTTCATGAGTAAATAGCAGAATACAAATATTTATCCTATGATTACAAATATCAGAGGTTGTATACATATGAAATAATTATGAAAATGGAATTTTTTCTCTTTTTCATAAGGTGTTTTTAATGTTCTAAAGTTGTTCTGTGATCAAAAGAAACACACATAAATAGGGTCTTAGCTGTAAATGCTCGAAATCCCTAAATTTTTCATGTAACATACATTTTACAACTCTGCTGAAATTCAGTTAGGTAGTAGAAAAAAACTTGTTCCCAAATAAAAATGCATAAAGTCTATGAAACACTGTTAAACAACCAGAATAATTCAAAAAGCATTTAAGAAGGCTAACACTCTAAAGGTTAAGGAAAAGAAGAGGTAAGGAGAAAAAGAAGCAAGTAGACTGGGAGAGAGAAGAAAAATGTGCTGCAGGCTGCTCCAGCTGCACAGAGGGCAATGCTGAGGCCCGGGCACAGAGCAGAGGACCCCGGCGACGGATTCCCAAAGCAAACTTCCACTTTGTGATTCTTTAGGACAGAGTGAGTAAAAAAATCTTTAAAATTGTGCTCATTTTCTTTTTCAGTTTTAAGTACAAATATGGTTGAAAGTTGCCCAGGAAATGAAATTTATGTCAAAGGCATGGATCTCAACTGACTGGGTAAAAGGAAACCTAAATAGAGTGTTTACCTCATGATTTAAGTGATAAATCACCAACCCACATCATTCGCAAAAATACACTACAGTTGGATTATATTTTTCAATGTTAAAGAAACTATGCTAGTGCTAAAAATATAGAGAGAGAGATTTTCATATGTTTGAGTATGGAAAGCCTACCTATATATACTATTTGATCCAAAAGTAATAAAGAAAAGATGGACACAATTGACTACAAAAAAATGTAACATATAAGTATAGGCAAAGAGACAATATACATTATGAAAAAACATGACAGAAAACAGTTGCAAATATGTGAAAAATTATTAATATCCAAAATATATAAATTATTCCTATCAATAATAAAAACTCAGTTTTTAAAATGAGCAAATGATATAAATGAGTTTATAGAAGAAAAATCTATAAATATATGAGATGATATCTAATGCCACCACATATGTGTGTGTGTATATATATATATGTATCTCATAGCCACAAAATACCATTTTTACCCTCAGATTGGCAAAATAGAAAAGATAATAATTATATTATTGGTGAGAATATAGGAATAAACAGGCACCTTCATACAATATTGGAGAGAATGTAAATCCATACTTCTTGGGGTGGAATTTGTCAATTTTCACCAAAATTTTAAAAAACATGTATTTCTTTAACCTAATAATCTTAATTTGAGAAATTTATCCTACACAAATATTTGCATAAATGTGCAAAAATCTCTTTAAGGACATTTGTTGTAGCTTTTTTTTGTATTAAAAATTGCAAACAACTAAAATTATTGTATAGTCACATTATGAAATATTATATAAGCTAAAATAGAATGAAGTAGACCTAAAAGTAAGACTATATCATATTGTATCATATTGTAATTAGTGTGTACATGGGAAAAAGTCTGGAAGGATTCATACTCACCTTTTAATAGTGCTCCCCTTTCAGGCCTTAGATTTTGAGAAGGCCGAATGGAAACTTTCACTTTTTACTTAACTTCTCTGAAGTTAGAAATTTTCTAATGAACATGTAATTTTTGTAATGAAAAATTTTAAAAAGTGTTTTTCATAAAGGATGCTTAAAATACAGGCTTTCTCAAGAGCATATGCATGAAACCATTAGCCTCTAGTTTCGCTGCTTGTAAGTGGCTACCCCACCAGCCAGCTGTCCAACTCCAGCTTTTTAAGGCCTAGCCCAGACAATGTGATGGCCATCATGTAACCTGCCGCAGCTTTTAAGGGAAGTTGCCCCTTTTTGCACCCACTTTCCTGAGCTTTTCCTAAGAACTCATGGGGCAAGGAGATAGCAGCTTTCTGCCCTTCTTTTTGAAACATTAATTCTACTACTCTCTCATCTCATTAAATTCTGAATAATGAACATGGTTTCAAAGGCAGAAACCATGAAAAAAAAGAGGTTGGATAGACATGACTACATAAATTTAAAACTTATTTACATAGCCATAGCAAATAATAAAAGACAAACACTAAAGGGGGCAAATTATTTCAAGCTATATAATAAGGGTTAGTGTTCTTAAAATTAAAATTTTCACGTAAATGTAGACAAAAAAGTTAGACCCCTTGATACAAAATTGGGTCAAGGTTGTAAAAGGGACAATTCACAAAAGAAGAAATACAGTTGAACAAAAAGCCTATGAAAATGTAGTCAATTTATTAATAAACAAAAAAATGTAAATTTTAACATACACACACTTCTCATCTTTCATTTAAAAGTGAAAATATACAGTGTCAATCATGGTGAAAACAGATATTCTTGTACATGACCCATAGAAATGTGCATTTATAGAGTTTCCGGTGAACAATTTGTCACTGTGAATTAGAAGCATCAAAAATATTTCTATTTTGACCTAACAAGTTCACAACAATGATTTTATCCCAAGGAAATAATGAAGGACTTATAAATTGGCTATATGTTTATGTACTGCAGCATTTTTATAAGTCAAAATTGGAAACAACTTATAAGTCCCCAAGGAGGAAATTAGTTGAGCAAATCATGATATGGCTAAACTGAGTATGGAAAAAACAGATCAGAATAAACAGTATAATCCCATTTGTGTTTCTCAAAAAGCGTGTTGGGTATGATTGGGAAGGACATCCACCAGCATGTTGGTCCCTGTCTGGTGGGCTAAGGGCTATTATTCTGTTGTCCTTGGTTGTCATTGCTATCCTAATATTTGTTAATTGAACATATATTACTTTTCAGTGGATTTCTTTTTAATTTGAAGTGGCCTAGCACTTAGGTAAAAGCTCCCAGTGCAGAGTACGGGGGCGGTTCTGCCTTTGGGTGAGGTCTGGAAAATCTGGCCCATGACTCATTCCAGTTTCTCTCTCACCATCCTCATTGTAGTCTGGGGCTCTATCCTGATCTGTCTTCATGGATTCTTTTCTAACCCAAACTAACACTCCTGCGAACATAGACTAAAGGGAAGAGAGGAAGAAGCAGAGGAGGAGGAGGAAGAAGAAACATTCTCAAAGGTCTTTCTTTAGCATCTACCCTTTCCCTGACCAGGGAAATAACCCTGAGTCCGGACTCCCACCTCCCTCTCCCTGTGCCGAGGAAAATAAAGTGCTGTCAGCGAACTAAGGTGTGTTTTTAACACTGGCAGTTTGTGCCCAACTGGATGTCTTGACTTGTCAAATTTCAGAAAAGGAAGAATTTCAGGAAGGGACCTGGTCTCCTCTTCACATTTCAGATGAGGGTCTTGAGCCCAGGCTGGTGCCTGACCCCCAGGTACACATCAGCAGCTGATTCCCCAGCCTCTGGGACCTGTGCTCCAGACTCTGGGACGCTGTCTGCTTCTTACTGGGACCTCAGGGTCTTCTGTGCCAGCCACACCCTGTGTGCTGCCTCAACTCAGGAATCTCTTCCTGTCTTGCCTTCCTACCCACCATGCATCTCCTCTTGGGCACCTCTGCATATGCCTCATTACATCTTCCCACAAACTCAGGCGAGAAACATGAAAAAGGAGGCTAGCATGCAGCATTTTGTACTAAAAACAGAGTATGTCGTGGCTTCCGTGATGACCAGAAAGGCCTCGCCTTGTGCATGCAGCCCGGTCCCATTTCTGTCCCACGTGGCTGTGTCTCAGCGGTGGCGTCCGAACCAGCAACAGAATCTGCAACCATTCTCACTGACGGGCAAGGCAAGGAGCCGGGTGCTCTCACCAGGCGGCCTCGAGCCGTCTGGCCCTAGTACACATTCCATGACAGAGACCCCCCATCTCTTAGAGCCTACGCCTCTGCCAAGGTGTTGTCTCCTTTGGGACAAAAACTGAGTTTTCTTTTCCTTTTGTGTTTGTTGCCCATATAGTCAGGTGGACAGAATCAACCCACAGAAACAGTCCCGGTGTGAAGTCTGAATTTCTGAGATGAGACTCACCCCGCTTGGAAGTCCCCTGGGGGGGCACATGATTGTCTGCCATCAGCTGTATAACCATGTGGTTGTAGAGAAGAGAGCTTTGAACCATAAAGACCTGGCCCTCTGCATAACAGATATTTGGATGTAGGCACGCAGCTCATGTCTTTGTGCCTCCGTTTCCACATTTATAAGAGAGGACAATACTTCATTCCCAAGTTTACTGCGAGTCAAATGAGGTGATGTGTGTTCACTGTCTAGAGCAGTGCCTGGATCCACGGAGACGCTCAACAAACATCAGCTTTCTTCCTTGTTTGCCGCTATGTGCCTGATGAGGGGGCTACTTAGGAGAATAAGGGTGGGGACAAAATTGAGAAGCTTTGCCTTCAGAAATAAGCCCGGAAAGCTTGTGGGTCTCAGGGCTTCTGGATATTTTCCAGCTAGAAAGTCGGGAACTTGATACCAACATGCACTAGGAAGCTTGACCAGATTTCTTAGGCGTATTCCTTTTCTCTACTTTTTTGTGTCATACCCTTCCTTATTTATTTCTCAGGGTTGCTTAGCTAGGACACGATCAGGACCTGGGAGTTTGTGACCTAAGCAGTGATGCAGCGGACACAGGGCAA